GTGCGATGTGATGGCACCTCCTGGGTTGTGTTCCTGAGCTCCCACGGGGCTCTGGGACCCTGTTTTCTCCAAGTCTCACTGCCTCTTCTCCTCCCATCTCCCCCCACCACGGGAAGAAGAGCCTTTCCCTGTCTCCTAGGAGTGCAGAGAAGGAGCGGCACTGGAGAACGTGAGGTGTGAACTCAGATCCGGGACTGCAAAGGGATTGATGATGACAGGAGGAGGCCTGGCTTCAGTCACTGCTGCCTGGCAGCCAGGCAGTGATTGGATTTGTGCTTTACACATATTTTGGGAGCAGACTAAGGGATTGGATCCATACCCGTCGTGAGCAGAGGGGTTCAGCTGCAGCAGTGAACCACAAAGAAGGAAGGGCCAAAGGTCCATGGTGCTCTGTACAGTCTCAGGGAAATGTGTCCTGCTCCCCCCTCCCCACACAGACAGCTGAGTGCTGAGAAAGCTTTTAAGGCAAAAAAACTATAAATAAAGAACGCTGTCCCTGGAACACAGAGCTTAAAATATGATGGCATCTCCCCCAGACTGTAAATGGGTTCCCTGAAGAGCTCCCCCAGTCCTGAGACCCTCCCCTTCCCCACTGCCCTCCTGGGAAAATTGGAGAGGCAAAGGGCTGCTGTTCCAGCAGATTTGCAGGAGTGGGAGTTGAAGAATCAATGAAGCTCTGAAAGCCAGTGGGGAAAGTCATTCTGCACCTTCCTGACACCAGGAATAAATGATTCAGCGCGAAAGGGAAAAAAAAAATACAACAACCCTCAAATGAGGCTGGAATTACCCACTGGAGAGATATTTCATCTTGAAGAATTGTGTTTGCTGCAGTGTTCATCTCACTGAGCCACAGCAAGGCTTTAATATCCAGCAAAAGGTCAAACCTAAATGGGAATTGGTAGAGCCTGCTGCAGCTCCGACGCCAGCGCCTGCACACACAGACCAGCTCCCGGTCCCTCACACGGAGCAGCCACGCCAGGCCAAGGCCTGGAACAGGGAGCTGAGCTGAGCTGGACCACATAGGAACAGCTCCCTCTCCGATGGGATCCCAGGCACAGCTCAGCCCAACAACGTCCTGTGCTCGCTCCCTTGGGACTGGGTACAAAGGGACAGCCCTGCCTGCCGGGGTGTCTGCAGCAGGTGGATCTGGGGAGAGGATTCCAGATTTTCCACTCAAAGGATGTAGCTGATAGTAAAGGAAGGGGGGATTTCAAGGCGCCTGAGGGCTGCAGGGGGCAGCTGTCAGCTCCTCCTCAGCTGGGACATCAGTGCTTGAAGGATGCCAGAGACTCTGCCAGTGCCCTGGGGCTGACCTGGTCTGAGCCCAGGGTGGTCTGGGGGCGGTGGGAGCTCTCTTCTCATGCCCATCAGCTCCCCAGGGATAGACAGTTCTTCCCACTGTTCCTACTTCTCCCTTGGTACTGTTCCTGCCTCCCTCCACAGACACACACCTGCTCAGCCTCTCCTTGGTTAATATGCACTCCTTCCCTCGGGCTCAGCTCTGCCCTCTGGGAGCCTGGCATCCCTATCCCAGGCTGGAGCAGAGCTCCAGGGATGAATGAGGCAGACAGGAGGTGGAGGGAAGGCAGAGGTTCCCAGGCAGCTTCCTCCTTCCTCTTCACCATGACAAAGGTGAGAGTCCAAGAGAAGCAAGGAGTGAACTGAGCCCTTCCTGTAACATCCACTGTCCTCCCAAGAGGGAACAATGCGGGTCAGTGAGCTGAGCTGGGCAGAGGAGGATGTTACCTAAAGCAGAGCTGAAAATCTGCTAAAACTTTGGGGTTTATAACAAAACTGGTCCCAAGCTACAGGCAAACTGCAGACTCTGCAATGAAATGAGATTTGGGAACTAGCAGCTCTTCTGACAGCCCTGTGCCTTCCACCTGCCACCTCACTCATCCAACATGACCTGTAGCCCTCCTGCTTTCCTTCCTGTTCAGGACCAGCCAACACTCCTCCATCCTGCCCATGGTGTCCTCTCAGCCCTTCCTGATGAACAAGCTGCCATTCCTGCTGGGCATCCTGGGCCAACGTGGATGAACATCCACTGGAGAATCACCTGAAACTACCACTCTCATTTCCACTTGTGACTCAAGCCAGATCTCCCTACGTACAGAGAGATTAAATTTCTCTCAGGATAACACAAGATAATTTTTTGTTCAAATATTTACAGTTAAAACTCACCAGAGAATCAACAGGACTCTGCTGGACAGTGCTCAACTACCCACAGCCCCCAGAGGCAAACAGGGTTTAGGTGGTATTTAAAGCATCCAGAGACATCCAGAATTCAGCCCTCTCAAGTGTTTCCCAGGCCAGGCTGGGTCCCTGCCACACATCCATGGCTCTCAGGGCAGCAGGATGAACTTGCTGTCCTTTTCTCCCTAATAATGGTGACCACGTGGACGTGGCCAGAGTGGGTCACCAGTCCCTCACATGCTCACACTGACAGGAGGTGGAGGCCATCTCTGAACTGCACCCAGCAGCCACATACTTGGGAAGCCAGTGCTGTGGAAAATGGGGTCAGGTTGCTTCTCCCCATGTTTGGCTTTGTGGAGCTGTTTGTGTCTCCTGGATCCAAGACTTCCCTGGCAACGCAGCGGAGCTGTCATTTGGAGATCTTGTCCTTTCTATCCAGGATGTTTAAATTCAAGCCTCAAACTTGTGGTTGGCAGGGAACGGGGGCAAACAAACAGCCAAACAATCTGCTGTCAGTTCCTGACAGTCTGGCCTGCAACAGTTATCCCTCCTGTCCATGAGGAATGTCCGAGTACAGAGGCATTGGCTCAAGGGCCTGTCACAGATTTAAGCTGCTCAGGCTTAAGTACAAGAGAAAATTGGAAAAAAACGGACAAAAAGTGTATTGAAACATCTGAGCTTCGCTCCCTCCTCTATAAGGTCTGTTGTTTCACTGGCAGAGGGAAGGCTGAACTCACCCACAGCTGCACTGAACATCTGGGGGCTTGACTGAGGAAGATCCCCTGACTGCTCCTGAACCTTTCTGTTTGCTGCTCCCCCACCTCTTGACCCTCTTTTTGACATGCCAACCTCCATTTCCAGCCCCCTCAGCCACTGCTGGGACTGCTGCTGTGGGCAATGTGTGCTCTGAGGGGTTCTGGGAGGTAAGGACAGCTCGGTCTGACAGAGCTGCTGGGAAGGTGCAGAAGCTCAGCTGGAAATCGCCCTCTCCTCTCTCTGCTCCTTTCCAAAGCTGAAGGGGTTGGAGGGAAGCTCACCTCAATGAGCCAGTGCTGAGGAACACTGGCTGGATCCCTGTGTGAGAAGCTCTGAAGGCAGCACAGACATCCTCAGGTGTTAATCCCATGGGATGAGTTGGTTTAACAGCCTCCTTTCCCTGGGTGGACAATCAGCTTCCACAGGGAGTCAATGACTTCCTGAGACTTTTCAAACACACACACTGCTTTTCTGGGATGAAGCTCACACCTCTGAAGGGTTCTCACCTCTCTCAGCACCCTGGGGCTTTCTGCTCACATACACTCTGCTCTCTCACACAACCGCGTCCTGCAATGCCATCCCATGCCAGCTTCCCTCTCTGCTGGACACAGAAGCATTTCCATGCAGCCATGGTGTTTGTGGATGATCCCTCAACTCCACCAGGCTCACAGGGAATGCAGGAGTATACACGACTCCTTCCTCTGGGTTGTCACCACTGTCCCCTCTGACAAGGCAAGCCCCAGCCCTGCAGCTGGCAGGTCAGCATTCCCTGTGCTGCTGAACAAGGAAACACAGAGGAGGGAATGCAGACAATATCCTAAACAAATCTGCTGTTTACAAAGTCCCCTGTAAACTGTTTACATTGCTGGGGAGAAACCATGGAGGCACAGCAGCTGGAGCGTGTTCTTCCCAGTGGGAAGAACTCCACTCCTGTTTGCTGCACTCCTGTGGGAGGAAGTGGAGCTGATGCACGTCTGGAAAGGCTGCAAATGCATGAGAGGAAAGAAGAGGCAGCAAAATCCCAGTACCACCCACTCCCCCAGCCCACCAGGACCTCCAGCTGCCCCAGCACTGCCTCCCAGAGGGACATGGCACGTCCTTGGGGTACAAGGTAGCAAGGGACAGCCAACCTCGGGCTGCTGAGCAGTGCCTGGGGTGGTGAGGCCGCTGGCAGAGGGAGCAGTCCTGGAGGAGCCAGCCCTGAGCCTCTCTGGAGCCCCTTGGCTCTCAGACACATGTGAAGTGCCTTGTGACTCTCAGCCCTCGGAGCCGCGGTGTGTGGTGCCAGAGGCTGCTGCTGCACTGTAGACATGGCTAAAAATGGGGCCTCAGAAGGGCCAGCAAGAACATTTTGAAGTGCTGGCATAAAATAAAAGCCTCAGTGTGCCTCTAATCTGCCCTGTTTCCTGTCCATGAAAAGCCCTTTGAAGTGCCTGTGCACAGGGCAGTGCTGGAACACCTGTGACCCAGCTGACCAGGAGCACGTGGGCTGGAGACACAGCGTGACTGCCCGAGCCGTGGGGCTTCCTTGGGGGGAAGGCACGGAAGGGTTAAACCCAAAACACACCCTGGATCAGTCCCCTTCACACTGGAAGGGTCATTCTGTTACTTGAATATTTGAGCAGGACAGTGAGAAAACAAGGCCTCCACTCCAGGAAGGTGATAAGTGCTCTGAGCCCAGAGATAGCACAAAGGGGGGTATGTGGGGATGGGCAGCCAGCTGGAACAGCAAGGACAGGGAAAACATCCTCCCTACACATGGCATGGCAGCCCTGACCTGGTATTTGGAAAGGAACACAGGTACAATGACTAAAAACACAAAAAAAGAAAGAGGGCAAACTCAGTTGTCCAGAGAAGCTGTGGCTGCCCCATCCCTGGAAGTGTTCAAGGCCGGGTTGGACCAGCTTGGAGCAACTGGGATAGGGGAAGGTGTCCCTGCCCACGGCAGGGGGTGGAAATGGATGAATTTTATGGCCCCTCTCAACCCAAACCATTCCATGAATACAGGTACAAAGATTCTAAAAAAACCTTAAAGTGGTTAAACTGACCCAACTGGTGTCCAAGGGCAAGCAGGGACACCACACAGCTCCATCAGCAAGAGGCAAGGGATGTTCATCCACATTTACTGCCAAACCTAGAAGAACTCCACTCTCAGCACCAGTCCTGCCTTCACTCTTCACACCGTCAGTCTTCCAGGGGCCCAGCTGTGTCCCTTTCCTAACCAGGAAAAGGATGGAGGGGTCTCCCAGCAGAGGCAAACATCCCAACCAGCAGGAATGTCAGAGGCATCTGCAGGACCTCTCACAGACTAAGCTAAAAGAAATAAAACAAGAGAAAAAAACCCAAAACTTGTCAGGACAAACCCTAACAAAAGATCACCAGGTTCCTTTGCTGAAGTAAAAAACTGAAATCTAAACACACTTTTCAGAGCCAACCCCAAAGAAAATTGGGGTTTTGCTTTCAGAAGCTTTTTGTGTAGTTACAAACATGTCAGCCAGCTAAATTTCTGAGAGACTCTCTAGAATAAAAACTTGAGCCATTTTGTTTTAAAATAAGTCAGAGGGACTGAAGCTGTAATCCCACACGAGTGCTGGGTGGGTTTCCTTGGCTGAAAACGACTTGCTGAGCTTGACCTGAGCTTTGAGGATATTTTTGCTTGACCCCACGTGGCTCAGGCCCAGTGACAGGGACCATCAGACCCCAGTCCTTGCAGAGCAGCATCAACCCACAGGGATACCCCAGTGCTCCCTCAGCCTCGAGAAACCCACTGGGGAAGGCACAGTTTGGACCAGGTGCTAGGATTTTCTGGTGAGTGAGCAGCATTTCCCACTTCAATTTTAATTCTTGGCACTGTGGATCACTTCTCAACCAGCCACCCTTCAGAGCACAGGCAGGGGGAAGAGATTCCTCCATGCAACATCGCCAGTGTGAGCAGATTGCCCCAAGGTGCCACAGGCAAAGGCAGAGGGAAAGCTCAGCAAATTCATCTGCCACAAACTCCCTGACTCCTCATGTGACAAACTGGTCAGCCCATGTGTCCTGCTAAGGGCTCTCTGAGTCAGCTGAGCATCTCTTCCCTTCCCATTCCCAGGGGGTTTATTACTATGAATCATTAAAACACAGTCCAAATGGCCAGGAATTAACCCACACACTGTCCCAGCGTGCAGCTCCAGTCCCATGTGTTTGGCAGTGTCCCAAAGTCATCTGCTGGAACAGACACAGACATGTACCTGGACCAGCCCTACACCCCCAGCCTCCTCCCACACCTTCCATGGGCATCCCCATCCATCCCTGATTCGCAGGAGGGCTGGGACACTGTCTGTGCCCTGGGAAAGGTGAGAGGTGACAGTGGCTGGTTTGGGGTGAGGGTCAGTGCCCCCTGTGCTTGCCCAAGGTCAGGGAGGGGTGGGAGCTGCCCTCACCTCCCACATCTCCTCCCCGAGGGCTCTGTCTAGACAATCCTCCCCACTGGGACTCCCAGGGCCCTTCCACGCATGGAAGTATTCCGGAATTCTGGCAATTAATTCTCTGTCATCCCCAAAATAGCAGTGCTGTGCAGAGGAGTGCCACAGGTCAGCAATTAAGGGGCAGAGACAGACGGCCAAGGGAGGCTCCGCAGGTCACACCTGCACTGCTCCAGAGCTGCTCTGGGAGAAAGCCCTTACGGAGCTCCGGAGGGAATGGCAGCTCCCAAGTCAAACCCAAGTAATAAGATGATCTTGTAGGGGGCAAGATTAATCATTATTGGCAGCCAAGAATGTGCAAGTCTAACAAAAGCCAAAGGTTCTTTTATTACAGTCCAACTGCAGCTGGGAAGACAATGTTAGCTAAGAATCATTAAATCTATTGCAAGAATAAATTTTCTTTGAATCAAACCATAAAATGGGAGTAAAATCCTCTTAAGCCAGCGGCAGCTCCTAATGGAACAGATATTATTATTATTTTTTTTGCAAGCCAAAAATAAATTTTAAAAAAATTGCTTTAGATTGCGAAGTGAATAGATTAGGCTCCAAAACGGAAAATATTTACTTGAGCAAAACCTGCTTAATTTAATACCTGTCCCAATTAATTTTTAAGTTTGGGTTTATAATTGAATGGAGTAATGACGTTTTCTGCCTGTACAAACAGGGATTTGTGAAGCCTGTTTGCCAAGAATTCAGGCAGCAGGAGAAGCATCTAGGAAAACTTTCCCAGGTGACATCAGTGCTGCTGCTGCACGTGCCAGGGATGAGTCTGGCAGCTCCTGCAAGCCTGGAAGGTGAAGCCAAGGTCCCTCCTCACAGTCGGTCATTAAATTTCCTGGAACGTCTGACCAGGAGGTCAGTCTGATATTATCAGCATTAAAACTAGTACAGAAAAATGGAAGTCATTTCTCTCTGCAGTCTGATTCACTCCCTGCTCTCAGAGCAAGCTTAGTGCACTCCCCCCCTCAGTGCTTCTCCCTCGCTGCCAGAGAGCAGGAGAGGCAGGAAGGGAGTGGAACTCCGAGCACTCACACGGGCTCTGTACACCCAGGTGGAAAGAACACCTGCACAACCCCTTCTCTGGGGCAGGCAGGGCAAGGAGGGAGCTGTGTCCTGTCCTGGGAGCTTTTCCCACAGCCAGACACTCCTCTGTGCTTTGGACAATCTGTCTTCCTCAGCTGTCATGGGGTGCACTCCCTCCCCTCTCTCCAGAGGGTATCCTTGGATGCTCAGACCTTTCAGACCTCTAAAAAGTTACCTGATCTAGATGTGGCCTCTGCACAGGGCATTTTTTGCATCAGCAAGTCAAGGGAGGGGATTCTGTCCCTCTCAGGTGAGACCCCAACTGCAGAGCTGCCTCCTGCTCTGGGGTCCAGAAGCAGAAGGATTTGGAGCTGCTGGAGCGAGTCCAGAGGAGGCCACGGAGCTGCTCCGAGGGCTGGAGCCCCTCTGCTCTGGAGCCAGGCTGGGAGAGCTGGGGGTGTTCAGCTGGAGAAGAGAAGCTCCAGGGAGACCTGAGAGCCCCTTCCAGAGCCTAAAGGGGCTCCAGGAGAGCTGGAGAGGGACTGGTACAAGGGATGGAGGGACAGGACAAGTGGGAACAGCTTCCCACTGCCAGAGGGCAGGGATAGAGGGGATATTGGGAAGGAATTCCTGTCTGTGAGGGTGGAGAGGCCCTGGCACAGGTTGGCCAGAGCAGCTGTGGCTGCCCCATCCCTGGAAATGTCCAAGGCCAGGTTGGATGGGGCTTGGAGCAACCTGGGATAGTGGAAGGTGTCCCTGCCCATGGCAGGGGTTGGAACAGGATGAGCTTTAAGGTCCCTCCCAACCCAACCCATTCTATGACTTTATGATTGGAACCCACTGAAAGCTCTCTGTGTCTACAGAAGTCACCACTGCCCAGGGGCTGGAAATCCCACTGCACTGGCCTACTCCTTTTTTTTTTCCCCAAAAGCCCCTCCTCAAGGCTGAACTGACACATCCACCAAACACACCAAAATGCTGTCCATAACCACTCCCTCCTCCATCACTTCCATGACACATGGTTTCCCTGCAGACAAGGATTCCTGGAGCAGTTCCACACCCCACTGGCAGGGGGTTGTCCCACCATTAGGGTCCAGCCTGGGAAGTACAACGTGGCCATTGGCTTGCAGCTGGCAGCCAGCTCATGTTGACATCCTGCTCCTGGAAGCACACCCTGTGCAGTAAGAGGAAAGAGGAAAAACATTTGACTGCAAACCTTCCTGCCCAGAAGCATTTCTGATCCTGTCTTGAGCAACTCACACTCAGCCCAAGTGTACACTTGAGGGTATGTCTGCTGTCTTTTGGGGAGGAAGATGAGAAAGCACAGGGACCTTGCTGGCACGTCAGAGCTCTGTTGCCTGTGTTTTCCAGCCAAGGACCTTGTTGCCAAGTGCTGGTGAGCGCTGCAGGCTGGTCCAGGCTCTGCACACAAATTACTGGTGCAGGTCTGGCTGTACGTTGTGGGGACAAAAATGAGAGAGAGACATGGATTCAACATTGAAATCCTAAAGTAAAATTGTATAAAGGTCAGATGGCAGCGACAGAGAAGGTGAGAAGCATTTCAGACCCAAACAGCACTTAAATTCAGGTAAGAAACAGGAAGTCTGTGGCAACAGCAGAATCATGGGAGTCCATCAGAAAACATCACAAGTTAATCAGGAGTTGGGAGCAAGTAGAGTCCAGAGCTTGTCAGGAAACAACATGTCACCAGGATTACAGGCAAACCTTACAGGGTAGCTGTGATTCTGAAGGCCTGAGAGTCAAATTGTGATCAAAGAGTCGTGCAGGCACAAGAGGAAACAGCATGGAACCCAGAATCCTTCTCCTAAAGGCAAACAGAGGCGACTGACAGCACAGCAGATCCTTCCCAAATCACCCCCCAGGTCCCAGGAGCAATGGATGAGGGCTGCTCACGTGACACTGACTGACATGCTGCAAGATTGTCTGTGGGAAAGGAACGAGAGGGGTAATTTTATTGTCATGTACCACAGGGGGGTGTAAGTAAAATCACAGCATGAGAAAATGACAGTGTATCTGTCTGAGGTCATTTGCATGCCCGGATAATCTGTGGGAGGGGAGCCAGAGTTGCTGTGTTTGACAGAGGCAACACAACAATGTGCCTGGGAATTGGCAGATTTGCAAGCCCTGAAACCAATCTCGTGTTTGCTGCTCCCAAAACCAAAATGACCAGATTTAATCATTTAAGCTTTCAACGATTACACTTTCCTCCCTTGTTAGGGGCTGTATGAGGGTGTCCTCCTGCTGAGCAAGCTGTGGGGATGGCACAGAGGGACAGCCCAGCTCGAGGGGTGTGCACATCCCAAGGACACGCTCAGGGGACACAAAGGGACTGTACAGTGCCCCGTGCAGGTGAAGGAGCACAGACAGGCACAAAGGCAGACACCAGGGAGCAGCCACTGTGGGCAGGCAGTGAAGCCCAGTGGTTTTTAGGAGGGATCTGGAAGAAGGAGGGAAGGCTTTGTTAGTGTTTCCAGGTTGCTCCTCCGCTGCAGAGGCAGTAACCTGGGAGAGAAACACGGTGGCACCTCGGAACTGGCACTGCTGGCAGGACAACTCGGGACCTCTGCAGTGGAAAATGTAGCTGCTGGTTGGGTGGAGCAGGGCCAGGAGAACAGGCTGTCTGCACAAGGCACAGGCACTCCAGGGCTTGTGTGAGGGAGATGGTGACAGGATGGGTGAGACAGGCTCTGCATGACCCTGTAACACTGCACTGCCAGAGGGTCCAGGAAAATCCCCACGATAAGGTGTGAGGTGCTCTGCACAGGACTGATACGTGTGGTAGAAATCTGATTGCTCCGAAAACCTGGGCATCCCAAAGGGATTTCATGCGGGAACACAGGGAGGAGGAGCTGGATTTTAGAGATAACCTTTGGGCAGAGCCATCCAGTTTTCAGCAGAGCCCAGATATGGGTATTTAGAGGCAGGTCAAGTCAAAGAGGAGGGAGGGGGTGAGTGGATGGTAAGAGAGAGACATCAAGAAAGGAGCAGGGAAGAGCAAGCACAAGGAGATTTAAAACTCCTGAGATGAAGGCAGTAGGTGGGTGTCCATGAAGAGCTGTCAGAAAGCAGTCTGTGAATTAATTTGGACAGCGCAGGACGGGCTTGGAGGAAAGTGATTGCTCTGTGAGTCATCAGCAGGAGATTAAATATGCAAAATTTGTAAATAAGGTCACCCCGAGAGGGAATGCAGAGGAAGAAAAGAGGAGGGCTGGGCAAATAGCCAAGGATGGAGCGGGTGAAGCAGCTGACAGTACTTGAGGATTGTCAAGCAGGACAGGCACATCAAGGCAGGGGTAACCCTGTCCTGCTCGGTGAGCAGAGGGGAATAACACCCCCCACCAACAGGTAGACTTGTCACTGCCAAACCCAGAGAGAGACCAAAACACCTTGTTGGTAGCCATAGACTGGAAAAGACAACCCCACAGCTGTAGCTGGCAGGGACCTGTGTGGGAGGCTGAGCCTACCCAGAGTTACTCAGCTGCTTCCCAGGCGCTGGAAGAGCCAGAGCTCGTGTTTGTGGCTGCAGGGACAGGAGCAGTGGCACCCTGAAGGCCCCAATTGACCCCAGGTTGCAGAGCCAGTTGGCCAAATGCCACAGCCTGAGCTCCCCATTACCTGGAGCTGGCTGGGAAGCAGAAGGCAGCACACAGCGAACACCCCCCCTTACCTTGTCACTGGCAACGGCCCCTCATTTGTCAGGGAGGGATTCAGGCAATTTGCAGAGGGATGGGGGGGGTTGCAGGTGTTTGGCAGTCACTCTGAGAGCTGGAGACAACAAAGAGAGCCTGAAAAAAAGAGGATCCATTTCTAGGCAGAGAGGTTCTTGGCAAGCCCCAGGCAGAGCAAGGGGAAGAGGGGCTGGGGACGGACCAGGGGAACAGTGGTACAAAAACAAAGGGGCTGCATTAAAGGGACCCATTCTGTGCCATTCTGGCACTTGAACCAGGTTTAAGCAACTTTGCTGCTGCCTAATCGGAGGCTAATAATGAGCCAGATGTCGTACAACCTGGAAACGCCTGACCAAGTCAGTGGAGAAGAGCAGGTGAGGCACTTAACCCTTAAGTAAGTGGTGTAAACATCATTCTCTGCTTCTGTTTGTGAGTGCACAGCAAAGGCAAACTGCTTTGGGGTTTAAAGGTTTGAAGTTGTGGCCTGTTGGCAGCAGGATATTATACAGCCCTGGTGTGGTGCTGGGATGGGCTGAGCAGCCTTAACATCTCTGTCTGGCACGAGCCCCAAAGGCAGAGTTCAGTGAGCTGGGCCCAGGGTGAGTGGCAGAGGTTATCCCAAGGCCAGGCTCTGTGAAATGCAGAGTTAGTCAGGACAAGGTGGCCTGGTCCCTGCAGGGTGCTGCTTAACTGTTCCAGCAATTTAGAGTTTTTATTTGCAGCTCCATTTACAAGGAAATCCAGTCTGCAAAGCACAGCTTACCCCAAATTCCCACTACACGACTTCATCAGATCACTCTGGGCTCTGAGACCACTGTCTCCACACAGTAATAGCCATTATCCCCAGGCTTTGTGTGTGTTTATGTTACCCTTCCATTTTCCCTTCAGATATGACAAGCAATTCCTAGAAAATATGTTATAAACTCTTCTGCTCTGGAGTTCTGCCACCTCTGATTGCATTCATTTGAGCCAGGGATGTAGTTCCAAAGTAAATCAATAAACAAGACTTAAAAGAGTCCTACAGACACGGGGTGGGGGCAGCACCACAGCCCTCCCTCCTCCCCCCCCCCCCCCCCCCCCCCCAGTTATCTCTGCTATGCTTCAACCTAACAAAATAAATGGGTGAAATCCAATCAGTAAACACTTCCCAAAGCTCCCAGGGCTGCTTTGCAGTATGGGAGTAGGGGCTAGGGCTGCCTTGCAGCTGGAGGGTCCCTGGAGCCACCAAATCAGTGTGACTGCTTGTCACAGTGCTGATCTGGGCCAGTGAGAGGGTCTCTCAGGGATCATCAGCAGGGACATGCCTCATTGCCAGCCTGTGGTCCCCAGGGGTGGGCTGCAGCCAGGGTCTCCTGGTTGGGAGACACCCAAGGAAACATCTCCACCCCAGTGAGGGACTGGAATGGCAAATTTGGAAAACCCAGATTCAGAAAGGGGCCACGCACCCCACTCTTACTGAAGACACTTAGGCCCTTCAGGCTGGCTATCACATCCAAGGAAGCATATCTGCATTTACTTGGGGAGTACATACTCACCCTGAACACTCCTTCTCACTGCCTGTGGATCCTCGTACCTCCCGGCACCCCAACTGCCATTTGGGAACAGGGAATGGTCCTTGGGAGCCTCCCAAGAAGCTGACAAGGCTGTGCCTCCTCAAGCAGCTCCTCCAGGTGAATCCTAACGGATCCCATAAGCACAGTAAGGACTGGTGGCTAAACACTCCCCCAGAGAACAGCGGAGAGGTGGGTTATTCATCACTGCCTGCCCCCCAGGATCAGTGGATCAGGCACACAGGATGAGGGTAACTTCCAGAGAAACCCCTGACACAAAGCCTGCTTGTATGCAGTCACAGCAGGAGTTACAGAGCACATTAACTCTCCTGGTTGAATTATTTGGATTTGGGTGGTTTTTTAATTTCAGAATCTCCAAAGGCTGTGTAGACACAATGCTGACAGCTCAGCCAGAGAGAAGGGGCGCTGTGAGAACTGCCATCAAACTGCCACCTCACTCTGCCACCAAACAACTGCTGGGTTTTTACCTGGCTGCATCTTCAGCTGAGATCTCCACCACCTGTGTGCTGCTGGTTATACTGGTGTGTCTGCCTGGGGCTGACTCAGGACACCTGTCTGTTGTTCCCAGCTCTGCTGCTTTCTCTCACTGTGAAATAAAACAAACCATTCCGGGTGGCAGCGCTCTCTTATTTTGGTTTTCTTCCTGGTCTCTGTTTAGTGTCTCTGTGCACTGCTTCCAAATCCAGCATTGTGTGTGCAGAGCCTGATTAGGGGAATTCACCCAACCCAAAATACACATCCTATGTGCTCTTCACAAGCAGTTACACACAGCCCTGGGGGAGCCTCCCACACAACACACTGGCACGGTGAAGCTCCTACTAGAGACACGTGGGACAAGCAGTGCCCACATCCCCTGCACAACAGGCTTACTCAGCCCTGGAGTGCTGTGGGACCTTGCTTAAAGAAACATTTTCCTAGGAATCAGAGGGAGATCCCACAAACTGCTGCTCTTTTTAATGGGGCCTGTACTTGTTAGTAGAGCTATGGAGGCCATGTCTGACACCACAGAGGAGCTCTGAGCTATCCCAGCCTGCAAAGAAGGCTCCTCTGAGCTGCACTGAGGGACACAACTGCTGGAGGCCACTCCCATAACATTCCCATGTGTTCAGATCCTCCCTGCAGCACCAGGGAACTGAACTGCACACACCACTGTGGTTTCTCTCTCTGCCTCCAGCACAGGCTGCCCTGCGCCTCGCTCAGACAAACCCCAAATTCAAGAGGCCAGATTGCTCCTGGTGTCCATGCAAAGCAGCCCCTCGTCCCTGTACACCCTGTGGAGCAAGGGGGGCGCTCCCCCCCCCCCGCCCAGGCTGGCAAAGCCCCGTGATGTGGCCCCAGTGCCACATCTCCTACCAGAGCCTGTCTTCCTGCTGGGGCCCATCCCCTGCTCGGGGTGCCTGCAGCACTGAGCACCTCTGAGCGAGCTCAGCCATGGGGTAATTAATGAACACAAGTGGTCACTTCTATTATCTGCAACTTGAAGGCAACTCCAACCAAGCCAGAGCTGGAGCTGCACTCGACCAGGGCGCAGCCACATCTGGGGCTCCAGACCTTTGCGCGCTCGCTCTCCCCGCCTGCGCGGGGAGTCAGGTGGTGCCGTTCCTAGAAGGTGAATAAATTATTATTGCAAATTACTCTGATGAAGTGGCTTTTATTAGAAAGCCAGACACAAAGGGAGCTTGCTGATTGGCTCCCAGTGATGTCATAGCCAGCACAGCACTCAAATGCAGAGATGCGAATTCTCTCCTCTGTATTTTGCGTATAATTTTCATTTTCTCCTGGCAGTAAAGACTCACCAGCAGAGTCTTTCACCCCGGGAGGGCGGGGGTGGGGGGGGTCTGTGCTGCTCAAGTGGCTGATGAAAGCAAAGTGGCCTTTGTTCCTGTGTCTCGCAGGGAACCCCAGGCTAACAGTTTGCACCCACAAAAGCGCTGTGGTTTATTGTTCTATTATGAACCCACCACTCCATTTTCTTAGGTGGGGAGCAGAGAAATTGGCATTTTTTTGGCTTGCATACACTTAAAATCATTCTGATCACAGAGATTTTGCTCTTTACAAGCTGAAGCTTAAAGTGCAGATAAAGCAACAGCCTGGGTATCATTCTGATCCTCAGCAAAAGGCGAGAACAAGGCTCTAGAAACAACCAGGCAGCAAAATCCAACTAATTATTTATTTTCCAAGTTTCACATCGTGTTTTTTCCTCCCTGAAAAGCCACTGTGAATTCTCCGTGAGGTCTGTCAGAGGGGCAGACTCAGCTCCAAGCACACTACACGTTCTCATTTCTCTTCCCTAACTGAACCTCGTATTGAACTTACAAGATTTGCCAAGTAAATGTTCCAGCTTTAATCATTCCTGGATGCAACAGGCACGGTGGGACAGCTCAAACAGTAGAACTCTGTGTGGACAGCAGGCATGGAAGTATCCCTTGCCTCACTGAACTGGAATGAACTCCCAAGCTGAGGCAGCCACGTGAAGGCTGTGGGGAGCTCTGCAGCTCCCTCACGCAACGCGGCCGCAGCTCTGGGCTCCAACCCTGCTGGACCCGAACACGGCAGAGTGGAAGGGTTTCCATCCCTCCCTCCCTCCTTCCCTCCTTTATGTAAAATCAAGGTGTAAATTTTGCTGAGAAGGCCAAGAGTAACATTTCCAGCCCTGGGAACAGGCTCCTGCCTGTGCCATGCAAACACCGGGCTCTCCTCCAGCAGACCCAGCACAAATCCCGAGCTGACCTCTGGCACTTGCCCGTTCCCCTTTGATTACGGCTCCGAGGCCATTTGTCCTGCAAGGGCAGAAAACAAAACATATCTATCACTTGGAAGATGTCCTGGAAACCCCCAGATAATTGCACTGATGAAACTGGACACTGAGGGCTGCTGGAGAGCTCAAACATAGCTAGATTTGCTGTTCCCGGTCCTGAGGTCACGACTCCCTGCAACATCATCAGCTCCACTTTATTCCAGGTGGCTTGAAGTTGGAAATCATTCTCCCTTATCGCCGAAGATTTGCTGAGCTGCCTGCCCTCTGTGGATAACAGCAGCTGCCCTCAGACTCCTGCAGGCTGGATCTGAGGCTTTTGAAGTCCTGAGGGTGAAGGTGCAAGGAACAGGCATCTGGGAAGGAGACTCCTGACTGTGAATCAGAGTTAAAAAGGAATGTGAAGGCAGCAATCCTGGGAGAGGATGCTGGCTGAGACACACGGCCTGCATCAGCAAAAAGGGAATGGGCTCCCAGGTTTAAGACCTGGAACTGATTCAAATTACCCCTTTTAGATGTGACCTCCTTTCCTGTCTGAGGGAGACAGCAGGGAGGAGAGGGAGCCATGAATCTGAAATCCAGTCCCTGCTTTGCCAATGTGTGGCTTGGCCCCACATCTCTCTTTGCTTTTACCACTCCATGTGAGAATATAGGGTTATTAAAAGCATCAGAAGAATCTCAAGTAAAACAATCTTATTGTTTTTTAAGAGTTTGTTATACATCTCTGGAGCTCTGGCTTGGACCACCACAGACCAGTGTCAGGAAGCTCAGAACAGCTTTTGGATATCAAATTACTGTTCAGAATCATATCAAATTCCAAAATTGCAACTACTGGCCAATAAAAGAAGCCTCTGTAGGACATAACTCACCCACACAGATGGCACAGACCATAAAACCATCGTGCTGGGCCTAACTCAGCTTCCCTTCCTCACCCAGAGCAGCAGCCTTGCCCCAGTCTGATTCCAGCAGCATTATTCCCCTGGGAAGCAGCTGGACTCTAGAGGAGATCACAGTCCCACCTACTCATCACTCACCTCACAAGAGCCCCTCTATTGCTTGGCTTGCAATGAAACTGGGGGTTGATGTCTCAGGCAACCCCTCCCTTGCACTGAGCACAATATTAGAATCACGTCTGGATTATAATACCCAGTAAGCTGTTCTGGGGTGATATGAATCAGAGCCCTGAAAGTGGGATTGCCTTTAATTAATCGTGGCTGACAGATGAAGGTATTGAACGCAGATTGAGAGGTTCAGGACTGGCCTGAGGGATAATTGTTGCAGGGCACATTGTGTTAGGGTGATATTTTCTTCATTTTTGGCAACGCAGGAGGGAAGCGGGAGGAAAATAAGTGAATAATTGCAGCTAATTAGAACTTGCGTGTACATCCCAAATTAATTTGTCTAAATAATCAACTGCCACCAGCAGCCTGATCCAAAAGGAAAAGGAAACAACTGCCCAGAAAGATCTCAATTGCTCCCATAAATTCTGCAGTCCCAGCTCTGGGATAAATGTTTTATAGAACTGAGGCCCTATATACAGAAGGAGAACTGGACAAGATTATCGAGTGGAAACACTTGCTTTTGCTAAGGATGTACAATAGGTTAAAGGGCCGGGTGAAGCTGAGGGATGGCAGAGTGCTGAGGGGTGGCAGATGATGCTCTTGCCTTTGCCTTCTTCCCATCCATATCCATTTGCAACAGGCTGGGCCGCCGGCAGCCTGCCCACCACCCCCTCCCCCGGCGGGACACGGGAGGTGCGGGATGGTCGCGGAGCATCAGCCGGGCCGCTGCTGTCGCCGCGGGGTTAATAAGAGGTGTCTGTGCCGGCGGCGGGGGCAGATGGAGGCGAGGCTGCGGCAGCCCCGTGTGCTCACAGCGCCCGGCCCCGCTCGGGCCGCGGGATCCCCTAATCTCCCACGGCAGCCCTGCTGCTACAAACACTCTCATCACGAACGCAGCGGGGGCAGCTCAGCACAGACAGGGAATGATCTAGCAGGGGGTTAATAAAAGGCCTGGCGCAGAACAAAAAGCCTGTCAACCGCCACAAGATGTGCTCTCCACCCCTGCCACCCCCCAGGAAATTAAAAACTGCAGCCCGTGGTGTGCGGGGTTCCCTGCGGGACCGGACGGGGCACAGGGAGATGGAAGGGTAGGGTGGGAAGGGAGAAGCTGGGAGTCAAATGTTTGTCCCAGCTCTTGTTTCTGACGCGATAGATCAAGTGCTGTTACTCTAAAGGACCAGGCTACCTGGTCTTTCCAAACCTGATGAGACCAAGGCACATTTCGGTGTGCTGGTGCCAGAAGCTGCTCGGAGAGACAATCCAGTCGATCCTGCCAGGCTGGAGGGCCAGGCTGCTCTGCCTGACACCGCCAAAGTCCGTGCTAGCACGTTTCCATGGAAATGGGAAAAGACCGAATGCCTGTGACACGATACACCTTTTCTGATGTAGATTTGGACCATTTCTAACGTCTCTTTCTAGTGACAGCCTTCAGGACTGAGTATTTTGAGGGCACAACCAAAACAGAACAAGAAGAGGGAAAAGACATCTGATGGTATGAATCAAAACACATCATCCTTTCTGGTGAGCGGCAGCTGAACTCGAAAGCACATTAATCCCCTAAAACAACCTTCTAGGTAAAGAGACCCCCGCACTAAATACAACGTAATTGGCAGGCTCCCTGTTCCTCAGAGGCGAACGGTGACGATCTGTCCCTCCCTCTTGGGCCCGTTTAGGGCGAAGTTTGCCGCCCCGTTTCTCCGAGGGGGATGCCCGCGCTCGGAGGTTCCGTGGCTGTGGCTGTGGCTGTGAGAGCAGCCCGGCAGCGCTGCA